GAGTGAACCAACAGAAGGAAGACTTCTCTCTGTCTCTCTCTCACTGTCTATAACTCTACCTGTCAAATAAAAAAAAAGAGTGCCAAGTGACGTGATGGTGTCTGGTAGAGCAGGCACGGAAAAGAGTGCAGGATGAGACGTAGAACTGGACTCCTCAGGAGGACGCGTTATCTCCAGGAGTGACGTTGTGGTGGTGTCTGAGAGGTGACACTTGTCAGTCGGTGCATCAGGCTTGGCTGCCTTGAGCTGTGCTGGCTAAGGAGACTGCTGATGGCAGAGATGAGAGGGGTTCCGTGCAGCTGGCTACTTGAGGTCCTAAAGCAACTTCAAACTGGACGAAGGACCCAGCTACAAGCATGTGTGTGGTTCTTCTCTGGGCAGGCGCTAGAACACTAGGAATGATGGGAAAGTGCTTATGCTAATCTACAGGCTCACAGTACAACTTGGGATGAAAGGGTTTGTCTTTGCTTATGCCTCACGTTACCTTCATCCTACACTTGATTTTCAGAAGAGCATTTCAGGTGCACTCACACTTAGTGCTTTGGAAGGAGCATCCTCCTTATCAAATCTAGCATCATAAACTAATCACAGTGGGGTTTTTTTGTTGTTGTTGTAAAAGGTCTCATTCTTTTATAATACTGATTGCAAGTTTCCATTGAATAATCAACTCCATTTTTTATACTTGTCATACCTCGATTTTCCAAAACTAGAGATGCCAATTTTTAGAAGTATAATTGTTATGTAAAACTGAAAAGTACTTTTAAAAATGTGTGGTTAATGTGTTTTTTAAAAATGTATTCAAGAGACAGAGTGAGAGAGAGAGAGATACAGAGGGCTCCAGTTCCCTGGCTCACTCCCCAGAAGCAGGTGTCATAACCAGTGCTTTAACTACTAGGGCAGGCACCCACCCTGCTGTCATGCATTTTTAATAAACCATTTCTTATTTTATGAATTCAAGGGCAGGGGGAAAAAAGGACAGGAAACCAATATTTTCTCCTTTCACCCTGGGGGTCTACACATGCAATGGTTTTCATGGCATTCAGCCATAATTTACGTGCCTGGGTCAATGATAAATATTATCAATATCAACATTTTCCCCTTCACCAAATGCTGTTCAAATATTACAGTAATTTTGATGAATGATCTGGGGACAAATTTGCATTTCAATGTCTTATTGAAAGGAAACCGGCCTATGTGCTCACTGTAGGCATGCTGTACTTGGTTTCATCTTAGACTCTGGTTGAAGCGTGCCATCGTTTTAGAATTCTCATAGACAGACCACATTAATCCTTTAAACGTTGCAGCAGATAATTAACTGTAATATCCAGTCAGGGCTGAGCCGTCTGGGTTGCAGAAGCGGATGCCTGGGCTGGCGTCTCTCAGGTGTCTGCAGTTACCTGTGTGGGAGGTGCATGGGTACTGTGCTGTGTCTCCCTTTCACTTTTGTGTGGCGCATGGTCTACTGTTTTCCTGGGCCCAGCCTGTTGAAGTTAAATAAATCTACACACAAATGGTTTTTTTTTTTTTTCTTGGTGAACAGCTTCCCGCTGTTTGGGACAGAGTGTTCACCATCCTGGATATTCCACAACTGTGCCATAAAGGTTCCCTGGTGTGCAGATACTCCCCAAGATTCTGACTGAGTAGGTCTGGGATGGGGGACTTTTCTTCCCTTTTTTTGGGATTGATTGATCAGTTGATTCAAAAGGCAGAATGACTGAGAGGGAGAGACAACGAGACAGAGACAGAGAGATCTATGCCATTTGCTTGTTCATTTCCAAATGCACCCAATGGCCAGGGCTGGGCAAGGCCAAAGCCAGGAGCCAGGAACTGCATCTGGATCTCCCACATAGGGGCAGGGGCCCAAGCACTTAGGCCATCTTCCTCCACCCTCCATTACCCCACCCTGGAATAGATCTGATGAAGAGGTTGTGCTGTGACAGCCCAGGGTCCTCCTGTGTGACTGGCAGCCATGCTCTGTTGGCCCACCATTTTTATTATTAATTAATAATTAACTCGAGAGGCAGAGCTCCCACTCAGTTGTCCACAGATGCCCACCGTGGCCGAAGTCAGGAGTTGGGTGTTCAATCCAAGTGTCCCACAAGGGTGACAGGACCTCAACTACTTGAGCCATCCCTGCTGCCTCTCAGGGTCTGCATTAGAAGGAAGCTGGAGGGGCCAAGGCCGGTGCGGTGGCATAGCAGGCTAAGCCTCCACCCGTGGCTCTGGCATCCCAGATGGGCCCCAGTTCATGTCCCGGCTGCTCCCCTTCCGATCCAGCTCTCTGCTGTGGCCTGGGAAAGCAGTGGAAGATGGCCCAGGTGCCTGGGCCCCTGCACCCACATAGGAGACCTGGAAGAAGCTCCTGGCTTCGAATCAGCCCAGATCCAGCCATTGCAGCCATTTGGGAAGTAAACCAGCAGATGGAAGATCTTCCCCAACCCGTTCTCTGACACACTAACTCTCAAATAAATAAAATCTTTAAAAAACAAAACAAAAACAAAAACAAAAAACGAGGAAGGTGGAATCAGGAAGTGGAGCTGGAGCCAGGAATTAAACTCAAGTACCAAGTGCTCACACTTGCCTGGGAAGGGGGGTGGAGGTAAAAATGCCTTTGAGTTATGCTAGCCTGCCTTGGGTTCTGTATCTGAGGATTCAACCAACCACAGATAGAAAATATTTAGAAAAAATACCTGTATCTGTACTGAACATGTAGACTTATTTTATTGTCATTATTCCCCAGAATATACCACTATTTGTATAACAGTTACATTATATTAGGTATTATAAATAATCTAGAAATGACTTAAAGTATATAGGAGAATCAAACAGGAGACAGAGAGAGAGATTTGAGTATCCATGTGGATTTGGAATCCTCAGGGGGTCCTGGAACCATTATCCCCACAAATACAAGATATGTCTTTACTTACCAGCATTTCAAAATTGTATTTCACGCAAATATCTAGATATGAAGCTTTTCTTGGAAAAAAATGGGAGGCTCTGGCCAATACTGGGCTCACATTCCGACGGCATCCCAATCAGCCCAAACTGACGGTGGCCCCTGCTCCAAATCCAGGCCTCTCTCTCCCAGGCGGGTTCACCTGTCACCTCCCCACCCCTGAGTCAGCATCCCAGGCTACTGCCTGCCTGCAAAGGGCTCAGGAGAGGAGTTCCTGGCCTATGACTGGGGGAAGTAGACTCATAATGGGAACAATTTCTCAGTAATGGAGAGAGTGTTCAAGAGGTGGCCACAAAACGAGTGTTCACCCTACCCAAGGAAGAAGACATTTCTGAGTGGGCAGGTGTCCTCCACCCCTGCTGAGCCTCCTGGGCTGCTTGCTCATGACTGTCCTGCTACTCGGCACACACACCCTGATAGGCACCTTGTGCCTGTGAAGAAGGCGACAGCTCCCACCAGGCCCTCATTTATTGTGTCCCATCTTGAGTTTGAGCTGAGCATTCCCTAGCAGTCGCTACCCTATTTTAAAAGAAGAGAGACCTCCTATCTGCTGGTTCACTCCCCACATGCCCACAACAACCAGGCCTGGGCCAGGAGCCCAGACCTCAATTCAGGCCTCCTACATGGGTGGCAGGAACCCAAGTAGTTGAGCCATCACCTGCTGCCTCCCAGGGTGTGCATTAGCAGGAAGTGGGATCGGAAGCAGAGGAGCTGGGACTTGAACCGGACTCTCCATCTGATATGGGGTGCAGGCACCCCAAGTGGTGTCTTTTAACTGCCGGGTGCCACATGCCTGTCTCCTACTCCTCTTACTATGATTATTCTTGGTGAGGATGATACCTGTAGCTTCCAATTGATTGTGTCAGGATTTGTACTACATTCCTTATATACAACATTTTTTTCTAAAGATTTTATTTATTTGAGAGGTAGAGTTACAGATAGAGGGAGACACAGATAGAAAGGTCTTCCGTCCACTGGTTCACTTCTCTAATGGTTGCAACGGCTGTGGCTGGGCCAGGCTGAAGCCAAGAGCCAGGAGCTCCTTCCAGGTCTCCCATGTGGGTACAGGGGCCTGAACACTTGGGCCATCTTCCACTGCTCTCCCAGGCCATTAGAGAGCTGAATTAGAAGAGGAGCAGCCCGGACACAAACCAGTGTCTATGTGATGCCAGTGGAGATTTAGCCTACTATGCCACAGCGATGGCCTCCTCATTTACAACATTTTTGAAAAACACCTTGATAATTAACAATTAAGTATTATGGCGTCTACTTTGCAAATAAAGAAAAAGAGGCCCATGGGGGTGAAGTGATTTGACCAAAGTCGCGCAGCTGAGAAAAAGCCAAAGGGACGCCAAGACCGGCACTGTCCCCTGACTCAGGTCTCACGGGGAAGCCCAGCTGGTTCTGATCCCCTCACCAGCCTCTGATGCTGCTTAGGCAGCTAATGTGCATTTCCACGCAGTTTTCCAGTTATTTCATGACTTCGGGGAGAGTATAAAAGCCTTATATTGAAGACATCTTAGATACATTTTTAAATGGGTTGGAAGAACACAAAGTGTCAAGGAGCTCCTGGGTGCACAGCCTGTGACTTCCGGGAGCTCTGGGTCGCTAGCTGTCAGATTTTAACAAATACCTCTCTAGATAACTGCTTAATTATTATACCTGTCAAGAAAAAGCCTTCACAGCCATCAGGAACTGCATATAAAAATAGCCTCTAATCCCTAGCCTTCGAAAGATCCTCGCCTGTGACTTTAGCAAGGCAGAGTTCCAGTGCCACCCCATGGGTCTCAGATTCCTAAGGATAAAGCTTGATGGGTGCACCTGCTTACAGAGAAGCAAGAGAAGGACTGTGCCCACCTTGGAGGGTTGGTCTGTCTTGCCCTCTCCCTCTCAAATAAATTTAAAAATAAACTAAACTGGCCTCCAGTCATAGGGCTGAAGTGCTGTCGTGTTCCTAAGCCCACAGATGCTATAGTATTTCTTACGGAGGAAATGTGTGTGTTGGTGCAGTGCCATTGGCCGTGAGTTCTGTTGCTCTGTTTAGGTCTTCAGCAGACAGCATGATGTCCACCCACGTTGGTCAGCGAGCTCTTTACTCGGTCTGCGGGTTCGAGTGGTGATCTCTTTCTGAAACCCCCCCAGACACACCTACAGGTAATGTCCTCTCGGCTATCTGGGCACCTCTTGACCTAGTTAAGTGGGCATATAAAATTAACCGGCACACTCAGTGTCCACACCACTTTATAGAACATAGCCACAGTGAGTAATGAGAATTTACCATGCTCTATGTAGTTCCTGTAGTGTGCAGGTTAAATTAGTAGCTATAGCAAATTAACACCAACATCTCCGTGACTTCACCCAATGGACATGAACTGTCTCATATGTGTAAAGTCTAATCAGATATTTGGCAGGTTATCTCTCTTTTTTCTGTTTCACCTGAGAGGACAGGCAGAGTGGACAGTGAGAGAGAGACAGAGAGAAAGGTCTTCCTTTGCCATTGGTTCACCCTCCAATGGCCGCCGCGGCCGGCGCACCGCGCTGATCTGATGGCAGGAGCCAGGTACTTCTCCTGGTCTCCCATGGGGTGCAGGGCCATCCTCCACTGCACTCCCTGGCCACAGCAGAGAGCTGGCCTGGAAGGAGGGCAACCGGGACAGAATCTGGTGCCCCGACTGGGACTAGAACCCGGTGTGCCAGCGCTGCAAGGCGGAGGATTAGCCTAGTGAGCCGCGGCGCCGGCCATTGGCAGGTGATCTTACAAAGAGTCAAGGACCCAAATTCCTTCCATCCTGTAGCTCTGCCAACGCATAGGATTTTTGCTTCTGAGCAGTAAATGGGGAAAGAAAAGCTGTGGGTAGAAGGCCTTCCTGAGCCAGCCGAGGAGCAGAGCACATTGCTTCTGCCTTCATGCCATCGTTTGGAGCTCTGTCTCATGGTCAGGCGTAACCACAAGGGAGGCTGGGAGATGTAGTCCAGCTGTGTGCTGGGAGATGTAGTCTGTGTGCCACAGTGCTCTGCAAAGTTACTTCCTATGCTCGTATTTCCTCGGGCAATGGTGCGATTGTTAAGTAAGCGGCATTTACCTTCTTTAAGGTCATTTCTTCAAAGCCTTTTCAGTTCTTCCCCAGGAGAAGCAGGTCTGTCCCCTCCCATTTGTCTTTGTTAAAAGACGAGATCCTTACATAATGAGGCTTGTCTGTATCCTCCTGTTCTATTAATACGTCAGCCAGTCCTTTAATCCCTGCTGTAGATTTCAGCTCACAGTATTTTTGCCACTGAATAAAAGATCCCATGAAGACCGCACACAGGGCCTTCTATGAAAGAAATTGTTCAAATACAAATGGTTGATGATTGACGCTTGTTCCAACCAAATTGTGAGCTTGCACCCAATGTGCTGTAGCACTCAGCCTGTAACTGCCGCCTGTGTCTGACCTCAGGTTAAGGTGTGCATCTGACTGATGCTACCTGAAAGCAGCATCTGCTGCACTCTGAGGTCTCTGCTCAGTCTTACCATGGCTTTTGCTTTGAATTCTGATGAGGGGTATTTTTGTTTCGGGCTTTCTGTTGTATTAATATCAAGGATGAAGTATCACAGTACATAGCAGGATCCTTCTTCCTGGGAAATACTGTATAAGAAAGTGTGTTCTTGTTCATTGACAAGCTTATGCACCTCCTTGGAATGTATAGAACACCATCATGGACTGTTTGCGCCCAAAGTTGCACTTCCACGTATATTTTATATCATCTACACTTTTCACACAATTTTAGGGTGATTCTTAACCCTACTGAAAAGAAGCTGGAACCATATAACGCAGCAATTCTTGCACTTGCACCTTAAAGAATTAAAAGCAATGTCTTTAAGAGATCTTTGTACACAAAAGTGTACAAAGAGTGAGCAGCATTTTCCACAACACCCTCAGTGTCAGCAAACCAGGCATCCATCAGCAGATCAGTGGTTAAACAACTGTGGCTATACACACAGTGGAGCAGCAGGAATGCATTTCTGATACTCGCTGCATCATACGCGGATGTTGGAAATGCACGCTCACTGACACAAGCCAGACTCGAATGCACAGATAGCGTATGGTTCTACATATTTGAGTGCCTAGAAGAGGCAAATCATAGAGACATAAAGTGGAATACAGGCTACCAGGGCTGGGGCAGGTGACAAGGGAGTCACTGTTTCATGGGTACAGGGTTTCTGGGATGATGAGAAAATCCGGAAGCAGAAGTGGTCATGGTTACATAACACTGTGAATGCGCTTAATGTTCATTATACAAGGCGCTTCAAAAAAACTCAAGGAAATTGAATTAAAATATGTGTATTTTTGTGCAAGAAAACATAAGCATGTGCATAGTTTTTTATAATGTACATTTTCCATGCATATTCTGGAGATCCTTTGTATGCATGAAGAATTATGAAGTCCGGCGCCGCGCTCACTAGGCTAATCCTCCACCTAGCGGCGCCGGCACACCGGGTTCTAGTCCCTGTCGGGGCGCCGGATTCTGTCCCGGTTGCCCCTCTTCCAGGCCAGCTCTCTGCTGTGGCCAGGGAGTGCAGTGGAGGATGGCCCAAGTGCTTGGGCCCTGCACCCCATGGGAGACCAGGAGAAGCACCTGGCTCCTGCCTTTGGATCAGCATGGTGCGCCAGCCGCAGCGCGCCGTCCATTGGAGGGTGAACCAACGGCAAAGGAAGACCTTTCTCTCTGTCTCTCTCTCACTATCCACTCTGCCTGTCAAAAAAAAAAAAAAGAAAAGAAAAAAAAGAATTATGAAGACTCCCCTCAATGTTTTGTTCCACCAGTAAACTTGCCTTTTAATCCCCCTTTTCATGAACCTTTTGGAGCTTGTTATCCTTTAAAGTGATAAATTATAGGCTTACTTTGCCACAATAAATAAAAATTATATTGGAAAGAGACTGGACTTGGAACCTGTTAAGTCTGGAGCCCAGTCCTAGGTCTCCCAGTTCCTAGGTGTGTGTGGCTTTGGGCAAAAGATTTCATGTCCCCAAGTGTCCTTTTTGTCACCTGTAAAACTGGGGAGACTGTGACTGCCCTGTGGGACTGTGGAAGAGGTTAACACAATGAGCCTGCCCCTTGGCAGCATTCCAGCCGAAGGTAGAGGCAGCTGACATAGTCAGGAGGGAAAATCGGCTGCACATCTGTGGCCCATTGCTCTTTGGCTCTCTGGAGATAAGAGTGTTCGCGTGAGGTGAAATAGATTCCATGGGATCTTTGGGTTGGAGAAACAGAGGGGCAGGCCTTTCTGCTCCCCTAGGACTAAAGGGACAGCAGGAACACAAACCCACCCATGCCCCAGTCTGAGGTTTAGTTCAGTTTCTGCTTAAGTTTCTGAGTTTTCATGTGGGTTTTTATAATTCTTACAAACTGGGGGAATTTTTTTTCATACGGGTTTTTAAACTTATTTATATTTGAAAGGTAGGAAGAGGAAAAGAGAATGAACTTCATCTGCTCTCTCACTCCCCAAATTCTCCCCAATAGCCAGGGCTGGGACAGACCAAAGCCAGGAGCCTGGCACTCAATCCAGGTTTCCTAGGTTGGTGGCAGGGACTGAAGTACTTGAGCCCTCCCCTGCTGCCTCCCAGGGTGCACGTTAGCAGGAAGCTGGAATCGGAAGTGGAGCCGCGACTCAACCCAGGCACGGATGTGGGATGCGAGTATCCCAAGCTGAGCTGTAACTGCTGCACCAAACGCCCACCCCCTTAATACAGATTTTAATCTTGAAGTGGATTCTAAGATACACATCCACCTCCATATGTGTGAACGCAGACATGCACACACACACACACACACACACGCACGCCTCTCGGAGAAAAGCATCATGTAGGATGCAGGCGTCCTGCAACATTAAGGATCTGAAACAGAGCTGTGTTTGCAGAGCCATGTCGGAAAGCTGTCTGTGTTGCAAATAGCAGAGAGTCTGCAGAGGAGAGCCCGTAACTCCCCATGCCCCAGGTGCCAGCCCAGGAGGAGCAGGGATGGAGCTGACAGGACAGGAGGCGGGGGAGTGACTGAGGTCCTTTCCAGGCCTAGCTCGAGGCGGGCGTCACGAGTGACGTTGAGCCTGTGACATTCAGAAAAGGTTAAATTTTGTTCTGTTTGCTTAGGAAAAATGGGAGGCTGTGCAGCATGTATTAAAGATCATAAAACTAAACATTCAGTGCTAGCTAGCTAGAGTTAATTATTTGGAAAAATCGCCGTGGAATGAGATGTTGCTATTTATATTGAGATACAAATTCATATTGAGATACAAATCAGGAAATATTGTCAATTTTGTCACCTGTTTAACTCTGGAAACTGACTACTTTGTCAAAGTAGTCAAAGTAGTCCGTTTCCAGCATGTAACACAAGGCTTGCCTCACAGGTGGACACTCTGAGAAATGAATGAATGGACAAACAAGCGAACATGCCAAAGGATGAAGCTGTCCCATGCCTGCATCCGCGAGACGTGTTACCTGCGTACGAGTGAAGACTTTCCCTTTTCTCTTTTTCAGAGTGGAACCTGCTCCCTTGGATCCATTCGTAAGCAAGAGACACCAACACCGTGACTCATGCCAGTGCCACCGCCGCCACCACCTCCTTTGCCTCCACCTCCTCCACCCCTGGGGGCTCCTCCTCCTCCCCCACCGTCTGCACCCCTGGTAAGACCTGCGCATTTTTATCTGCTTCATTGTGGAGTAGGAGCCTCCAGGCTCTGCAGGAGCAGAAGTTCTGAATGTACGGAGGCAGCCCCTGCCTGGCACCCCTCTTGTGGGTGGCATCTTAGGGAACTGGGCCTGACAGCTTCAGGCTCTGATTCCAAACCGGCCTGGCTGCTGTGCCCCATTCCCTGGCAGCTCCTACCTCCATCTCGTCGGGCCCCTCGTGGCTGCATCAGTTCTCCTGTAATTCCTGCTGCTTGGTGCAGCCTCCTGAATCTTGCCCTGGTGTGCCACACCCAATGTGCATTCCCTGAGACACTGCAAAGTCGCGTCCTGCCAAGCCATGTGGTTGGTGAGGGTGATAGCTTGGCTTCAGCCCCTGGGCTCTCAGCTGCACTAACTGTCATATGGAATGAAGATGTCAACTTAGGACTGGATATGGTATGCTGGGGGGAGTGTTGTTGGGTATTCTGTCTTGGTTTAGTGGTTGGGTTGGGCTTAAGGGGAAGCCACAGCAGGTGCTCATACTGTTTAAGAATGGGGATTCCCAACCCCTTCACCATTCACATTTGGGACACATCATTTTTTGTTGTGGGATGCACTGTGGAACCTCTAGCAACATGCCTGGCCCCTACCCACTGGACACCGGGAGCATCCTCCAGTTGTAGCAAGTAAAATCAGGCTCAGATATTGCCCAGTGTCCCTCCACACCCAGTTTTAGGAGAAGGTTCCTGGGGCTGGCACTGTGGCTCAGTGGACTAAAGACCTGTCCTGCAGCGCTGTCATCCCAAATGGGTGCTGATTCAAGTCCCAACTGCTCTACTCCTGATGCAGCTCCCTGCTAATGAGCCTGGGAAAGCAGCGGAGGATGGCCCAAGTGCTTGGGCCCCTGCACCCATGTAGGAGACCCAGAAGAAGCTCCTGACTTCAGCCTGGCCCAGCTCTGGCCGTTGTGGCCATTTGGGGAGTGAACCAGTGAATGGAAGACCTCTCTCTCTCTCTCTCTCTCTCTCTCTCTCTCTCTCTCTTTCTCTCTTTCTGCATCTCCCTTTCTCTCTCTAATTCTGACTTTTAAATCAAACAATCAGTCTTAAAGAAGAAGAAGGGTCCTGCTCGATGCTGGCAGTGAACCTTCCCTCTAACAAAACCCCAGAACCCATCTCAGTCGTATGCTCGTTCTGTGTGCGGCTCCTATGAGGTATGTGTGGCACCAGATCCACAGCTTCTGTTTTCTATGGAAGATGGGCAATGTGATGACGTGGCACGGAAACACCAGGCTGCCTGGGGAGGAGCCGAGTAAGCAGCCGCCAGGAACAGCACCTCCCGGTCACGTTCCCTTAGTCAGACTTGGCCTTGGGGAGAGCTAGCTGCACAGCCACGGGGCCCAGAGTGTGCCCACGGCATCGCCCCCGTGACCTGAGCTTTGTGCCAAGGGCATGCACCTGCCTGAAACCTGAAACCTGCCCTCGCAGAGGATGGGAGGAAGGCATATCGCATGAAGAAGCAAGCACCAAAGCGTGCAGCGAAAGCACGAAACAAACCAAAGAGCTCTAACCGGAAGACAGAGCAAGAATACAGATGGGAGTTCCACTGCTGCGTTGGACCTCGCCAGCTCAGCTTCATGGTCATCGCCATGGCTCTAAGTGAAAGGTACATACGCAGAACTCTGATGGGAAGCTCACGAAGTATGACTTACAGCTTCAGATTCCATTCTATACCCATAAACCATAAAGTTAGCCAGAATAAACATAGCAAACGCCATGTGACTGGGAATTTGGGAAATAACCCCTTTCAAACATTGCTATGATATATAAATATCTGGGGCTCAATAAGTGTTGAGCATGTGTTTCTGGAATGTTCTCTGTCACAAAACAATAAGCCTGTGTCAACCAGATTTTCCCCCTGATAATGAGATAGTTTTATTTTGGAGATTGATTTAAGACTTTAAAGGAGCCAAAAAGAAAACATCCACCATTATGCACAGCAGTGCTGTTTATTCTAGTGAAATAGATACTAAGTGGTTTATGAGAACTAAATGAAATGTCTGAGGTCATACTGTTGATTAAAAATTCCATTTTGCCATGGTGTTAATTAGAAATTACATCTATGCTGATTATGGAAAAGTAGATTTGACATGATGGGTTTAAAAACAACACGTTGTGTGTGTGATAAAATCGGCTATGGGCCAGCCTTAGGGCCTTGGGGCACAGGTGGAGACACCCACATCCAGTATCCCACACCCAGCTCTGGCTCCTGCCTCCAGCTTCCTGCTGATAGAGGGAGGCCCTGACAGACAGCAGGCAATGGCTCAAGCAGCCGGGCCTCTGCCACAGCAGCGGGAGGTGGGGACTGTGCTCCCTGCTCCTGGCTTCGGCCGCTCCGCCAGGCCCTGGTGGGCTGTTGTGGGCATTTGGGGGATGAACTGGCAGAGGTGCACTCTCCCTCTCTCTGTTACTTAACATCAGCTGTGTAATAAATACAGTACAGGTTAGAATAGAAGGTGATAATGCTGATTACAAAAGTCAGTATTTTATTAGGGAATTCTTTTTCTTTAAAGATGCTTCAGTTAATAAACAAAACAGTTTGTATGTGGTTAATTATGTGAATGTCCTCATTTTTTTTTTCCTTTTTGGCTGTCTTTTGGAGGAATAGGTCAATTTAGGAAGAAAACGGCCATGTAAAGTGTGCAATTTTTAAAAACATTTTTCCACAAACTGGGAAAATATTTACATATTAAAGGGCAATTAATGACCTTACTCAGGAAATGTACAAAGTATATACTCTCACTATGGAAAGAGTAGAAAAGTGACACAGGACATGATCAAGTGGGAGAAATACAAATGTTTCGGCCTCACTGCAGTAAACACAGAATAAAAGAATGAGAAACCCTTTCATCTATGAACTTGATGGTGCTTTTTAAAAGAGTGTTTGTCACAACCACAGGAACTGGCCCCTTCTCACTCTTGGTGGAGACAAGCACTGGTCTAATTCTCCGAGACACAATGTGTCAGCGCAGATCAAACCTTCTGGAAGACAGACGCACTTAATGACCTCCTTGCACTGAAGCAGTGTTTCTTTAAGTCACTGATTGTGGATGAACAGGACTACTTAGCCATACATATTGAGGAAAGCATTACTTACAATGACAACCCCAAAAGGGAGAAGAAACACCCTACATGTATAATATCAGGAAATTCAATAAATAAACAATGAGATAATCCACAAAGCGGCATGGAAGCACCATTAAAAAATCATATCAAAATTATTTTATAACTTCCAGCGTAGTGACTGAGGCACGGATCCGCCACCGTGAAAGCAGGAACCTGCGTTGGAGGGGAATGGACGCTCTCGGGGATCCTGAGGGACGTGCACATTATTTCCTGTCGCAAACGGGAGGGTGACTTTATGTCCCAGGGCTTTGGTTGTGCCCCGGGGGAAACGCACCGCCTCACTCAGCAGCAGTCTGCCAACGCCAGCCTGCTCTGGAGCAGACCCCGGCACACCACAGCAGGCCAGCCGAGCCCCTCACTGCTGGCCGACAGCCCCTGTCTGGGAGTGCTGCTTCATCTCCAAAGAATCGGGAAGAATAATCAGAGGTAACGTGTCACAGCCCATGAAGAGGACGTGGATTCTGCGTTCAGCCCACAGATGAAGTGTACTGGAACACAGTCACGGTCATTTCCGTCGTGTGTCTGGCTGCGTTTAGGATACGGTGGCAGAACACCAAATCAGCAAAATGGAATTCTTCCAAACGAGAATTCCGTTCTTTTCATTAGTAGATCTGTGTTTTTAAAAACCATGCTCAACTATGATTGCTATCTTTTGAAATTTGTCAATAAATACTTTGTGGAATTCTCTCTTCTCTTTTGTGATAGAAATACAAAGATAATACCCTTGATTTGCAGCCTGGCCCATCATGCCCAAAATATTTACTGCCTGGCCCTGACAGGAAGTTTGCCAACACCTGTCCCGCAGCCAGCTGGCCTCGCTCAGCCCGCCTTTCGTTACCAGCAGCCCCGGAGCTCGGTCCCCAGCATCAGGTCTTGTCCCTCCTCTGCTTCACCTCGGGGTGGGGGCTGTGGCCCACTCACCCTTGCCTGCCTGTCCACCCCCACGATGGGCCTCCTCCTGCTGTCTTTACGCAGCTCTCCCGTCTGCCCGGAAGGCTCTTTTCTGCTGTCATAGCTCACACTTCTTCCTCCTACTCCACACTGCTTTGGTACATATTTTATATTTTGTTTTGGTTTTTATTCTTTTAAAAATATATTTATTTTAAAGACAGAGCTACAGGGAGAGAGGAATCTTCCATCCACTGGTTCACTCCTCAAATGGCCTCAACAGCGGGGGCTAGGCCAGGCTGAAGCCAGGAGCCAGGAACTAACTCCATCCTGATTTACTACTTGGATGGCAGGGGCCCAAACATTTGGGCCATCTTCCACTGCTTCCCCAGGGGCATTAGCGGGGAGCTGGATTTGAAAGTGGAGTAGCCAGGACTCCAGCCTTTGTTCGTGTGAGACATTGGCATTACAAGCAGTGATTGGAGTCTGTGTTTGATATTTTGTGATCTTCTGTGTCCCTCATGCCTGGCTCAAATTAGGCACTCAGCTTTCAATGAGTGAATATGAACAGGGTCAACAGATGGAGCTAAAACTTCTTTAGCCGGTGCCCAGGACTCTGAATGTCTATGCTGTTAAAGAAACGTTGTTAAAGGCCCTTTTTAGAGTACGGTACAGAAGACTTTGTTCAGGACCATCACAATAGGTACAGGCGGGACCACTGCAGTGGGGTTTTACACTGGCCTAGGGAGAATGGGTTCATCTCCACATACGGCCTGGGCGGGTGCTGGCAGGCCTGGGTGATCAGACATCGCCTGAGGGTGGCGGAGGAGGAGGAACCCAAGCAGGTGTCACTGCTGAGGGTTCTGGCTAAGTGGATGCAGCAGGGGTCCTGCTGAAACTGGCTGTTACATGGAAGGCTGCAGCTGGGCCTGGGGGAAGGCT